GAAATCCTACCAAGTGATTGTAGTTAAACTAGAAATCCACTATAACTCAGTGTGAGGAGCTAACAGCCATTAGCAGCAAGCCAGCCTAGAAAGACATACAGCAGTGTATTAACACTGTCCCAAAGTCATGCCCTCCAAGGCAAGCCTAGTGTCTCAGTGGCAACAGTTAGGACTGACTTAAAATACAAATGGTTTACACATTTACATTTCTGAGTAGCTTGTTAGGTTACCAGTACCAACATTTCGTAGAATTATGTCCCTTAAGTAAATTGATGAAATTCAAAAATAAAGGAAAAAAACAAAAACACAACAAACAACTAAAAAACCTTTAGCCGCCACTTGTTTAGATCTATCCAAAATGTGTCTTCAGCAACCCCATCTTCTACTGTTCACTGTTATCTCTTACCATATATCTTGCCACATAATATGATAGATTAGTAAATCTTGAGAACATTTATTACAAAATGCAGCTTTCCAGAATTGAATTTCATGTTATTTTTAGCTGATATTCATCAGACCCTAAATGTATATATACAAATTATAGTGACAAAAATGTTTCTCTAGTGAAATAAGGTACATTACACAGATAAGATCCTCCACATTTGTAAGAAAAATCCAAAGTCTGACTAAAATCTTCTTCTGATAAATTTTTCTCTGTTCTGCAGATAGTATTTTAATATCACACAAATATTTTCTCTGTAGCAGTTTCACCTTTCAGTCAGATTTTCTATGTTGAAGCAGAAAGGTTCAGGTGCAGTAGTTGGTACATATCTTTTCATGCATATACCTAAAGTTCCTCCAAAACTGCCTTCAAAAAAATCTGTTTAAAGTTTCACTCTTCTTTAATCATTAAAATGTTAGAACACTAAAATGTAATAAAAGAGTCATGAAACACTTTTCCAAATAAAATACAATAAAAATCTTTCTGGACAAAGATGTCTTTTTTATGGATTGCAACACATAATTCATCTGAGAAAGCTACAAAACTAAGAAAACAAGAGTAAAATATCACACCTTTTCCATTCACATAGGCACATTGTTTATCGTTACCATTGTCATATGTCTCCAGCTACACATTCCCTCATAAATATCCCACTTAGTAAAAGAACTATTTCCAAACAAACATAGACAAGCAACAGTGCCAGAAGGTTAGCAGATATATGGTTCATGTGTTAAAGCACAGATCTGAGCATATAATCTTCCACATACTCCTAAGATGCAGAGATTTCAGCTTGTGACACATGCATCATGAAAATATTTGACTGTGGTAATATTAATGTGCATCCCTCTGTGGATAAGAGTTGATCCTATAAAGCTAATAGTTGTATTCTCCCCCATAAGAACACACCCCCCCAAGCTATCTTGCTAATATAGGAATGCTAAGCACTTCACAAGAATTCACATTCTTCTACGCATTTACAGGTGTGCTTGTGTACAAGTACAAATACAACAGGCAGATAGGCACACCTAGCTGTATACATTTCACAGTGCACAGAATTGCAGAAGGAGAATGAAAGCAGAGGAATTGTAGAGAGACATTATAACTTTTCTTAAATCAACTGACACACTGGAAAAGGATGCAAGTCTTTGGGTACACTGCAAACCAATCTAAATCCAGACTGCTACCATCCCACCTCTCCACTTCCACACCTATGTTTGTGGGTCTGCTTCTCCCTTGCATCAACAGTAGTGTTCAGGAGCCTACACATACTCTGACAAGTCAGGAAGCAGATCTAGCTCAACACCAATTCAGCACAGACTCTTTGGGGGAGAGAAGAAAAATCACATCAGCCTGGGTTAGACCAGTTTAAATTGCCATGAAACTACTCTATGAGAGGATAGTTTAAGTAAGTGAGGAGGATCTTACCTGTATCATGTACAGGATTTAGCTTGGGGATATTGAAAGAAACCACCTCATCTTCCTCTCTCCTCACAGTATGTTCTTTCTCCTTCCCTGAGGTCAATATTTCTGACCATGTAGCTACAGGATCAGACACTTGAACTGACTTATCTAGCCAAAATTGACACAACAAATACTTAAATGTAAAAATTAGCCTAAACGACTTACAAGAATCGTGCACTGAGCAAAAAGTGAGTTAGCCCACTTTGAACAGACAAGAACAGTTTGTAAGGGGAAACAAGGGTAAGATTGCCACCTTCTACTGAAAAGGGACAGGCATTTACAAGCAAATATACCCTATGGAATACAAGGGCAGCAGCTGAACAGACCAGGGTGGAAAAGGGGTAACAAACAACAGCAAGATCTGCAGTGAGGACATAGACAGCTTCCTTTAGCCAGGAATCAGCATTAGGCAGTTGAATTTCAGAAGTCTGTCAAACACATGGTCTCCCAGAATTGGTTTCTAAAACACATCAATACTACCATTAACTTTACAGATAAAATTAAAACATAAGATATACAGCCTATAACATACAAAACCACACAGCCTATTTATTTATATTTATAAAGCACACCTCTGTAAAATCAGTAATACCCTCTAACAGACTAAAAGTACTCAGATATCACCTTGTTTATGCTACAGAGAACATTTACTCCTTTAGAACACACCAACAATTTAAAAAACAAAACAACCCCAAAACATCCCCCACCCCCCTGGTATCACTTTAAGAAAATAGATTTCACTTTTTCCAATATGCTATCTGGATAACACATAAACACACCAAAAAAAGAGCCCCAACTAACAATATTTAATTGGTTATCAGACATTTCTATAACCCAGGCACTCCACAAGTGTTTTAAAGTTAATATAATGCACGCAGCAGAGGAAAGCACTACCTCGAAGCAAACTCTCCCCAAATTTTACGCATTCTAATACATAGTATCTTTTAGCCACTGCTACAAATAATATTGTGGAAACTCTATAGGTAGAATGGAATAGTTACATATTAGAAAGAATTTCACATAAATAGATAACAAACAACAAGAGAACCTTGTTTTCTATTAAAAAAAAAAAAAGTATTACTCACAGAGTAGCCAACCTAGTGAATCTCCTCAGTTCTATCTTTGAAGTAACTTCAAAAGAAAATACTAGAAACTAAAATTCATGAACTCGAGCAAAATAACAGTAATGCTATTGAACTATTACTCTCATAGCACTTCATAAGCATCATTTTTCCAGAAAAAGTAAATTATTTCTTTATTTGAGCTCTAACCGCTATAAGAACTCATAATCTGACCATCTCACTTAAACCATCACTAACATCTTGTGTTTCTCAGGCCCCCACTGCCTTTTCACTTTAATAGTTTACGTGCTTGAAGCCATCACGTTAAGTCTTAATTTCCATTTAACATTAGAATTGCACCTGAGGAAAAACTACTGTGCTTCAAGACCTTGTAATTTTTTCCTAGATGTTGCAGGTGCTTTGAAGAAAGGTATCACTTCTCCAGTAAAAACCTTCCATCACATCTGACTGCGATACTAAAGCATGCAGCAGAAACAGTTTAAAAAAACCCCATTGGCTAATTAGACATCTAAAGTCGGAAAAAATAAAGGCAGGTGTTTTCCTCACACGAAATAAGTGGTATCAACCTGAGAGAAAAGAAGAGGAAGCAGTGTACAAACAACAGCTTTCCTGATTCTCGGACCACAGTAGTGTTGTGAGGATGATAAAATGTTAAAGAAAACCATGATAAGCTTCAAGAATAAAAAGGGCGTGACCAGAGGTTTTAAAAAAACTCTCAAGAAATTTGCTTGAAAACTTTTTTTTACTTTACCAGTACAACTTCTTGCAGAAGCATCTGATTTTCAAAGACTTTGAAATGTTAGCGCAAGCACTGCCATGAAAATATTCAATAAATAAAGTCATTTTTAACTCTCCATAGCATGATGTTACTCAAATAGGGTAGATAAGGCTGTCCTGCTAAAAGTACCTTTGTGTCAGAACACCAAACGTTTGTTTTGTTATTTTGTTGAAACTTCAGGATAAATGTTGAGTTTGTGTTTCTTCAAAGTATCTTGTTGAAGTAAAATACATTTTATCCTGCAGCAGAGACAACCCAGAAAAGTAGAGAACTGATGCATGTGCTAATCTCAGAGAAAGGCTCTGACACGGCAAGACATCAAGGCAGTTGGGAAGCAAACTTTTTTCCCAAAGGTTTATTCAACTTTACAAAAACATTACGGTTTTACTTTCGGCTCTTTGCAGGCTCGAATGTGAGTGGGGAAATGTCGTCTAAATGCCACGGTGCAGAATAGCTTCAGGGTACTTTGGTTGCTTTAATACCCAGCTTGTAATAGACTGTGTCGGCCAAAAATGATATATGGCAATAAGTTATGGTGAGTACTCATAACAATGCGTGTTAAATCCTCCCGGTACCGGCTTCAGTCAAACGGCACTTAGCTTGCTCTGCAGCACTTAGCGGATGAGAATAAACCACCCCAAGAGCGATTTCTGCCTTTTTACCTCTCCTCTCTCTGAAAGGGGGTGTCAGGGAGGTGCCGTGGGAATGGGAACGTCCCTGAGCTTTAAGAGGGAAAGGTGTGGCCGTGGGACCCCCTTCCGCGCGGCGCGCCGGTCCCTCCCCGTGGGCAGCTCGGCTGTCCCCGCTGCAGGGGTCTGTCAGCGCCTTACCCCCCCCGCAAAGGTCCCGGCAGGGCAGCGGCCGACCGAGGAGAGTTTCCCGCAGCTTCCGAGCGGGACGGCGGGCGGCAGAAACGTCGAGACGCATCTTCGCGACCTCCTGGAGGGAAGAAAGG